ATACTCACATTGCAAAGGACATAACTGAGACTGCTGGCAAACTTTGATATGGATGCTTTGATAGAAAATAATATTGTATCAATGTTAAATTTTCTGAATTTGACAACTGAATTAGAGTTATGAAGAGAATGTTCTTGTTCTTGGTGATACCTACTGAAGTATTTAGCGGAAAAGAGGCATGACATCTATAACTAATTCTCAAATAATGCATGCTGGGGGGAGATACATATTTAAAGAGAAGTAATAAAGCAAACTTAGTGAAATGTTAACAAACCACATAAACTCTCTGGCACTCTGTTTCTTCATCTGCTTGGAGATAAAAAGGGGGCTGAACTATTTTGGTTTTATTCACACTTTCATGAAATCCATTTAGGAGTTGAGGTCAGCATTAGAAAAGTGTTATTAATGAATCTGGATAAAGGATTTAAAAGCATTTAAAATCAAAACTAAAATAAACTAATACCATATTTATATAACACCAAGGCACTCTAAGCATGAAAAGATAATGGTTAACTACATGATACCTGTATACTTCCTCTCCAAACTAATTGAGTTATATGCTTACAAGAGTCAATTTGCATTTGTACTCCAAAGTATTTATGTCTATTATACTTATAGAATCTATTTAAATATGTAAATAGATTTCTAATGAAATACAAATCGAAAGTTATTTTCTATAAAAACTAAGTTGATTAACACGAACAACAAACAAAAATTACTGTAGAACTAGGCATAGGTAAGGCAAATCTGTAAAACTTTGGAGAAAAAATTGTACAAAAATCTAGACTGACTGGGCATTCAAACTGCTTGAAAGGTGTCTTTAACTTCTTGTTCCACTTTGAAGAAAATGAAACTGGAAACTGTAAACAATGCAAATTGTAACAAAGACAAACTGTTCCAACCAGCAAACTCATGCTCAGATAAAAGGTCTTGGGCCTACTACCAAGACTGGTGAGTGAACATATAATTATACATTTGAGTCAAAATAAAATGACTAAAGTATATATTTGCCATTTTAAAATATGTACCACTATAACTGACTTTTTAAATTAACTGATCGATCAATTGGTCCCAATTTTAGGGGAAGAGAGTGCCTCTACTATTGTTTTAATTGAAAAAGTGCTATACATGGTAAAGATACTCGAATGGTACAAAACACTACACATCAAGAAAGTTTCCCTTCTGTATTAGTCTTCTAGGGCTGCTACAATGAAATACTATGGACTAGGTGGCTTAATTACAGAAATTTATTTTCTCACAGTACTAGAGGCTAAAAGTCCAGGATCAAGGGGCCATCAGGCTTGGTTTACGGTGTGGCCTCTTTCTGGACTGCAAATGGCCATCTTCTGTGTTCTCATATGGCCTATTCTCTGTGCCCATGCACTCAGACACTAGCTCCACAGGATTAGGGTTTTGCCCTTCTGACTTCATTTAACCTTAATTATTGTCCTAAAGGCCCTATCTCCAAATCTAGTCACACTGGAAGTTAGGACTTCAACATATGAATTTTGAGGGGATATAATTCAGTCCGTAATACTTTCCATGCCAGAATCACTGTCCTACTGATGTGTGTGTGTGTGTGTGTGTGATGCTCAAATGGAAGTAGAGTCTACACATTATTTTGCACCTTACTTTTCTCACCTTATAGCATCATACAGGTATTCCATGTGAGCACATATAGATCTATCTAGTTTATTTTAATGGCTGCATACTATTCTATTGAATGGTTACATTATGACTTATTTCAGCAATTTCCTATTGCTGAACAGTTAAGAGGTTTTTTTTTCACTCTATTACAAAAATCCTGTAACAGATATTTTTATAGAATACTTTTATATACAACCTGTATACCCATGGGATAAATTTTAGAAGTAAAATTGTTAGATCAAAAGGAACTTCATATACAGTTTTGATACATAAATTACCATGAACTTTTAAAAAATGCACCAATTTTTATACTCCTACTAAGTGTTTAAGAATGCTTGTTCCTCCCACCCTGCTCTCATACCACACACACACACACACACACACAACCCCCCAATACTGTAGTATCGATTTTTTTATTTTTGTCACTGAGCTGACACAAAGGATCAAACTGTCAAATCAGAGATTTTACTCAGTATCAAGCTTTACTAATAATTTCAAGAACACCAGTAATTCCCAGGTCCTTTCTTCTTGCTTTGGATGCATCCTGGCCCAGGACAGATGTGGTTTCTAAATCAAGCGTATAGTCATCCCACTTACACAGAAGGAGCCAACCCAGTTACAAAACACTTCCATTTTACGCTAAGTTATATAACTTCCACGGTATTTTCCAGTTAATCGTACCCCTGAAATCCACATTGATTCTGTTTCGTTTTGTGAGAGGGAGTCTCGATCTGTCTACCAGGCTGGAGTGCGGTGGCGCGTTCTCTGCTCACTGCAACCTCTGCCTCTCCGGTGCAAGTGAGTCTCCTGCCTCAGCCTCCTGAGCAGATGGGATTACAAGTGTATGCCCCCACACCCAGCCAATTTTTGTATTTTTGGTAGAGATGGGGTTGTACCATGTTGGCCAGGCTGGTAAGTCCTGACCTCAAGTGATCCGCCTGCCTCAGCTTCCCAAAGTGCTGGGATTACCAGATCGATTCTTAATGTGTTTACCATAAACAATCCCAGGACAATCCGGGACATCTTGATAGAGGAATTTCGTAAATATGGACTCTTCAGCTAGCAAATACCACTGGTCTGTTTGCCAGGAGGTCTGTAATTACCATATTTATAAAAATCACACGCTCGCTTGCTTGCTTGCTTTCCTGAGAGTATTTCCCTACGAGGGGAGAGACTGGATTGAAGATCTTCTGCTCAACTCCTTTCTCAGTCACTGATAGAGGAAAAATGGTATTTCCTTGTTTACTTTTACATTTTAAGTAATGTTGAACATTTAGCAACTAAATATTGAAAGCTAGAAGGGAGATGAATCAAGAAGCAATTACCTTAGCAGACTTGAAAAGTAGGAATTCCAAGCAGGCCATGAAGCAACCTGATGCACACAGTGAAACCCTGCACAAGGCTCAGGAATTGGAAGCACCGGGTAAAGCTGAAGAGAGCATGATGTGAGCTAGAAATAAAGGGGGAATGGTAGAAAGTCTGTTTAAGAATGAATCAGATGCTCAGATTCCCTTTGTTATCCCATCAAAAGCCCAGAGATTTAGTCTTGGGAGAATAAGCAAAACGCTGATTCTCTAGCTCGGAGGACAGCAGGCACTCTTAAGGATGAAGGTGTCATGTTGCAAAAGGGGAAAAGAAAATTAGAGGACTAACATCTGAATAACTGAAGCTCACTAAAAAGAAAATGGAGGAAATAAGTAACTCAAGTTGCTTACTGAGTTACTTATTTGGAGTTCTGATTCTAAGCTCAGTGCTACTTATAATTTTTTAGGCTTACTGGTATATTTGATTCACGTTAACTGTAAAATAACATTTTCTAAGTTTCGCAAATATTGGGGATAGTCAAAGGGACTTTGTTCAGGTGATTAAAGGGTGGGACTTGCATTACCCCTCTCCTAAGCGACCATTCCAAAATGACTGGTGGGACTAAAGAATTATGGTTAAAAAACAAAGAAACCCAAAGAAAGGATTATCCATAAAAGCTATGCAATGACGTGCTGTTGGAGCTCACTGACCACACCTTAAGTTGTCTATGCACAAGAGAGGAGGCTATAACTAGCTAAATCTCCAACTGGCTAAGGCACCAAAGCCAGAAAATATCCTATAACATGCAAATATACAGACATAAAATCAACTGTAAGTGCTGGGCACAGCTGCTTGTGCCTGTAATTCCAACTACTTGGGAGGCAGAGGCAGGAAGATCACTTTAGACCAGGAGTTCACAGCTGCTGTGAGGTATGATTGTGTCACCGCACTTCAGCCTGGGGGAAGAAGTGATAACTCGTCTCAAAAGAAAAAATCAGCTGTAAAAGGAAAAATGATGTCTGGGTTACCTGTGGAGTCTGGGGGTAGTCCCACTATCACGCCTAGACAGAGATATAAACCATGAGAGGTTTCTAAGTGGGCCGTTTCAGTCCAAGTCAGCAACTTGGCATAAACACAGGCAACTGAGTTTAGCATCAAGCTTCAGAACCTTCAACTGACAACCCAACGGCTGTTTCTAAATCTCAGACCATTTAAATCAGAATCTAGGTAACACGTGGGCACCTACGCAGTTTTAAAAGCTTTCCAAGTGATTCAACTCCAAGTGAATCAGAGTTGAGCATCATTGCCTTAGTCATGGCATTTTTCAAATTCGTTAGTACAGTTTTACATTAAAAAAAAAATCGAAGAGTAACTTTTTGGTAAGAGGGTGTCTATTCTTTCCTTTCCTTTAGTGTCCTCAGATCTTTCCTCCTGCTGTTTTGTCTACTCTTGTTCTTGAACACCCCTTCTTATTTTTATATCTTTAGAAAGTGCCTGGCAAAGCATTTCAGACAGTTAAGATACTCTATCAACAAAGGACCCATAGACACTGTATTCATTTTAAAAGATGTGTAGTGAATATGATTCAATGAGTAAAATAATCCAGCTGGGGCGTGGGAGGAATGGATAATAAAACAAATAAGAGAACGGAAAAACAAAATTAGGAATTGTTTTTGGTAGCCAGCTACTGCGGGCTTGGAGATCTAAACATGATACCAAATTGGGTGGAGGGGGAGGGAGTGAGGGAGGAATGGGCAGAGTGGCGGAATGGCCTGGCAAGGGCGATTTCCCTGAAACCTGAAGGCTTTCAGGTTACAACTAAGGGATACCGGGAAAAGAACACCGAGCCCTCGTTCCGTATCTGTCTAAACTAGCTGTGTAACTTTAAGTCAACCTCCTCTCTGAACCAGATATTCCTCCTATCTAAAGGGAGGAGCCTGGCCTAGGAACCCCTAACATCTCTTTCCAAGTCTAGCTAATTCTGTAAACAGGGGATCGAACAGATCTCCTTTCTTCAGAAAAGGCCCCAGACGAACCCGAAGCAGGTCCACCGGATCGCGACCGGAACCTGGAGAACCGGTGGTCGTTCCTCCCGTAAAGCACAGCATAACCTTGGAAAGCTGCACCTAAACTGCGTGTGGGTCCGGGCTCTTTTAGGCGAAGCGCGTTCGGCGGAATCGACTTCCTCGACTATCTCCGTGCCCTGGACCCGCCCTCTCCGCCTGGCGCCAGGCCGCCGAGCGCCGATCGGCTCGATGAGCGGAGGCGCTGCTGCGGCGCTGCGGCCGACGACGAGTCTGCACCCACTGTCTCCCCCTCCCAGCTTTTTACCTCGGCTTCCCACTCCTTCCCCCGCCCGCCCAGCACCGCCCGCCCAGCACCGCCAGCCCGGGAGAGCTGCCGGGAGTTCCCCGGGAGCCTCAGGTACTGGCGCTGGCCTGTTCCCAGCGGGAGGGGCTGGTGTGAGGAGGAAGGAAACGAAGAAGACGCCCTGCCTCGCCGCCCCCCGACGTCCTAGTCGGGCTGATCGGCAGGCCTCCGGCATCTAGGAAGGGACCCCGGAGTGGGACAAGGCTGGGGCCCGGGGTGTCGTGAGGAAGGAAGACGAGGACAGGGGTGTGCGGACGGGGAGCAGTTGAGGAAGAGAAGAATTGGAATGGAGGGGAACTCTGGATGATGGGAAGAAAACAGTGCCATGGATGGGGAAGGTTTGTTAAGAGTGGGATGCAGTCAGGAATGCCAGGGGGTACCGTGGGGCAGGAAGGGCCAGTGTTAGGAGCAGATATATCCAGGGACGTGGCCTGGTGCGACAGATTGGGTGTGGGGGGTGAACGGAGCTGCCTGGAATTGTGTATTTAAAGGGCTCAGGAGAAAGAGCGCCAACCCTGCTGTGTTTATAATGACCGGAAGGTGGGGGTGAATCGTTACACTTGACAGGTTTTGCAAATGACATCTCCGGTTTGTGTCCATCCAAGTCACTTTATTTCTGTGAAACTGCATCAAGCAAGACGGCTGATGACAGACAAGGAAGACGAGTCAGAAAGGGAATGGAGGCTGGGAAAAGGAGAGCCTCTGCCCAGATTCAAAGCTGTTGACTAGATAACGTACTACTTACAAAAATGCATACATAGACATTTAAGTATTTGCCGATGTATAAGAAGCATACGGTGATGTGACTTTTTAAAGTGAATTTTATAGTGGTGGTCTATCCTCAATGTGGAAGTACATGATGGCTCTCTTATTTACATGTATACCTAGTCACAAACACCTGAATTCACATGTCTTTTTTGTAGGAGAATCTTAGGCGGACTATATCCTTGTCTACTTTCTAAGCATGATTCATTTCTACTAGTTGTTTGATACACATGTCATCAGTTACTAATAATCACCAGTTGCAAATAACGTCAAAGTTCATCAAGGTAGCTAATTAATCTGCCTACTGCTTTGCTGATGGGCTTTCTATTTGTTGCACATGGTTTCCTGGGATTAAGAGACCTGAATATGGGGTTTGCTCCTCCTTAAGATTGTAGTTTTACCCTATGTCTCATAAAGGCATTATATAAGTCAGCCTGTTGTTTGCTTTGAGATGTTGAGGGAGCCTCTTTGCAGGGGTTAAAATCTAAATACAGATATAGTTAAAAGCACAAGTTCTTCAGTAATTTGCCTTGTCATCTGTTTTTCCATGCTTTCTGTTACATTTCTGCAAGAATTAAGTATTCTGAAATCAAAGTATGAGGAATAAAAGGGCCAGATGTATGTGACAGAAATATTGTGGAACCAAGAACTCAAGAGCTGTTAGGCAGCAAGAGTTTGGTTTTTGTTACAAGTGAATAATTTCTGATTTGGAAGCATTTCTTACAAAAGAAAAGTGTTTGTGTCCGTTTGTTTTGACAAGCAGCTGACTTAAAATATTACTTTTATTTGGTTCGTGAAACATGATTCTGGGATTATTCTTTTTTAAGTGTATATCATTAACCAACAACTGATATCTAACTATACCTAATTTAAAGGGCTGTGTTTCTTCTTGTGGAGAAGGAAACAGGACTATTGGGTTGTTACCAGGAAGTGGGTCTTTCTAGAACAGAATTCTGTAAACCTGATGAGCAACTAATTGAAAAAAACAGTTAAAACTGATAATGCACAGCCATTGATTAATTTAGGCCTGTATCTCTGCTGTTTCAATGAGTGTAGTGACTAACGTTATCGTTACTAAACTTTAGTTTTCTCCTAGTTTCTTGGTGCCTACTTCAAAGAAGGGTCATAAAGAGTAAAAGAAAATGCATGCGTATCACTGAGCACAGTGCCTAGCACACAGTATAACATTATTTCTGAGCTATCCTGAATTGCTGAGTATTCATCTACCATCTAGTCAAAAATACTGAAAATTCATTATTTGCATAGAACAACTTTTTCTCAAAAAAAATTTTTAATATGTTGCATACACAAGCATTTTCCTGGAAAGTCACAATGCATATTAGCATATAACAGGATGTGAGTCATTCTGTAGCAAAGAAAACTAGTTTTGTTTAATCCAGTTGTTTTGATAGAAGAAAAATTGAGTTTCTTCTATTCTCTCTCAACACAGAATACTCCTGTGACCCCAAAAAGACTTCTCCTCACGAGCAAGCAGGCAGTTCTGCAGCAGGTTCTCCAGCTGGGTGTTCTCTCATTCAATTCTGATACTGTATACCTAGAGATAGCACCAGATCCTGCAGGTTGAGGGCTTAATCCTGCAAGATTCCCCCCTTCAGGTGCCAGTCACAAGTTCCAGGTTGTTTTACCTGTGCTTCCAACTGACTGGCTATAAATCATAGTTCCCACAATCCCTTCCTTGTGTTCCATTTATTTGCTAGAGTGGCTCACAGAATTCAGAGAAACACTTTGTTCTGGTTTATTATAAAGGATAGAGATCAACAGCCAGATGGAAGAGGTGCATAGGGCAAGGGGTACAGAGCTTCCGTGCCCTCTCCAGGTGTGCCACCGTCCAGGAACCCTCTACTTGTTCAGCTTTCAGGAAGCTCTCTGAACCCTGTCCTTTTTGGGTTTTATGGAGTCTTCATTAGTAGGCATGATTGATTACATCATTGGCCATTGGAAATCAGTTCAACCTGGAGCCCTCCTCCCCTCCCAGGAAGCTAGGGGGTGGGGCTGAAAAGTCACAGTCTTATAATCATGCCTAGGTTTTTCTGTGACCAGCCTCCATCTTGAATCTATCTGGGGGCTAAGCTACCAGGCATCTTACTAGCATACACAAGACACATCACTGCAGGGATTCCAAGGATATGTCAGGAAATGGGGATTAAAACCAAATATATATATATATATATTTTATAAATCACAATATCACACAGTACTTACCAAACTTACCCCTTTTTATGGAGTACCAATGGGACATTATAGTTTGCAGAATATTTTTGCATGTATTATCCAATTTGACCATCCCAACTCTGCCGAAGCCTGAAAATCACTATTTTACACATGAGGAAACTGAATCATTGTTTAAGCAGCCAACTAAAAGTGAGAGAAATAGACATGTTATCCTGTCTTCTGACTCCAAATTTAAATTGTAAAGCATTTAATGTCTCAGTGAGACATCTTCCCTCTACTGTCTGCTCTTTCATTTTATAAAAATCTATCTTAAGTCACTCATATCCTACACATGTTCTCTTAGGGCAATTACATCCATTTTCTCATAGTTTTAACTATTTCTTATGTGTTGAGGTCTAGCATGGAGGCCCCATTCACTGGAATGGAACAAGTGAGAGGGGAGGAACTGAAGTCAGAAAAATGAGGGAGTCACCATTATACGGGGTCTTGTGTATATTGTTTTAGGTACTTTAGCTTATACCCCAAAGTCTCAAATCTGATGAAATTTATTTTCTCTTTAAGGCAGTGATTATCCTGTTGAGAAGTAGAAAATACTTCGCAAATAAAAAATATGCCTCCCAAGTTTAAGCGCCACCTCAATGATGATGATGTCACGGGTTCTGTGAAAAGTGAAAGGGTAAGTTCAGAATCTTAAGCTTTAAAAACAAAAGATTCAAAATATGTTTTCATTCCCTTTGTAAATAATAGAAAAAAACCATCTGGGCACGGTTGCTCATGCCTGCAGTCGCAGCACTTGGGACACTGCAGCAGAATAGCTCGAGCCCGGAAGTTCAAGACCATCTTGGACAACCTAGGGAGACCCTGTCTCTACAAATATTTTTTTAAAAATTAGTGAGGCATGGTAGCACGCGCCTGTGGTTCCACCTATTCGGGAGGCTAAAGCAGGAGGATCACCTGAGCCTGAGAGATAAAGGCTGTGGTGAACTGTGATCTGCACTCCAACCTGAGCAACAGAGCAAGACCCTGTCTCAAAAATTAATTAATTAATTAATAATAACAGGAAAATCAAAAGTTTATGACTATATTCTAATCCTAATTGTTTTCTTCATAGTAAATGTATTTAAAAACATGTTACTTAGATTGGTGACAACTGAATCCTACTTCTATTATTGATCAAATCATTATTCTCATAGCTTCTTTCTAGTTTTTGAAAGGGAGTTTTATACAAATACACAATATCTTTTTAAGAACTTTGAAGCTGAATATATTTGGAATTTTTCAGATTTTAGAAAGTTAAGAACATATTATGTAACAGCATTTTTGGGGCCTGGACCAGTGCCTCCAAAAATATTAGTATTTCTCAGTGAAGTGTATATTTAGTTATACCTAACTAATGTAAATAAAGTGTGTAAATAAACTAGCTAACATCAGTTCAGGTCAGAGTTTCCTCCAAAACCTTTTGATTTTCAGAAGCTTTTAGATTTTGGAATTCCAAATAAAGGTCTCCAGACCTGTAATTATCTTAGGTTCCAGAGTATCTTTCATATAATGCTTCAATTTCTAGTTTATTCCAGAACATTCTGTGCAAAGATACATGAATCTAGAAATTATGCAGCATTTTGAAAGACATTTTATATGAATGTTGTAGGCAGATTACTTTTAGAATAAATACTCAATACATATTTATTGGGGGAAATAATTCACATTCTTATTTTTTTAATGCACCATTCTGAAGCCCTCCTTCCCTTCCTTCTTGCCTTGATTCATTCGACAAATGTATATTGACCGCCTACTGTGTGCTAGGCACTGGGCTAAAAATTGGATGACATAATCTGTGCCTTTGCAAAGCTTTTAGTCTGCTTTGTTTTACATGCTCTTTTTGGACAACCTCAGAACTTCATATTATCCACTCTGTCCACCATCTTATGACTTTTAGCCCTAAGTTTATTTTAGTACAACACAGGAAACGTTTTCTTCCCCTTAATCTAACCCTTTGTACAGCTTTTTGGGTTTTGTGTGTTTTTGATGGTTTGTTTTTATTTTTTGAGACCAGGGTCTCACTCTGTCGTTGAGGCTGAAGTGCAGTGGTGCTATCACGGCTCACTGCTGCCTCCACCTTTTGGGCTGAAGCTATCCTCCCACCCTAGCCTCCTGAGTAGCAAGGACTACAGGTGCATGATACCACACCCGGCTAGTTTTTGTTTTTCTTATAGAGATGGGGTCTCGCCGTGTTGCTCACGCTGGTCTCCAATTCCTCAGCTCAAGTGATCCATCTGCCTTGGCCTCCCAAAATGCTGGAAAGTGCTGGGATTACAGACATTTGACACTGTTCTCAGCCTGTTTTTTTTTTTTTTTTCTATGGGGAATAGAATCCACCAATAGACTAATTGTTAGCAAGCTTTAAAAAATAAACTTTAAGGAATCACCAATGATTTCCATGTTACCAAATCCAATTATTCCTTCTTTGCCATAATTTCAACTGCTTACCAGCATTTGGTGCAGTTTCAACAATTTTGGTCACCTGTCTTTGCCTCCACGCCATGGTGAAACTCTTAGTGTCTGCTTGAGCTATTTCCCCATGCAAGGAATTGAGAAATGCCTTGAGGAAATAAACCAATCTGGGTGAACTGGGAAGGCTGTGGCAGAGAGAAGGCAGAGAATGATCAGGGATTGAGAAATCACTCACAGGGATAAGCCAGGGTCTCTTTCTTTATGTAATATCTTTCAAGATAAACCTCCAAGAAAAAGTGATTCAGAAAATTTGACATGCCTGTGCTGGAATTCCATACACTGAAGAATTACTATCAAAAGCATGTCTTGGCCAGGCATGGTGGCTTACGCCTGTAATCCCAACACTTTGGGAGGCCGAGGCAGGCAGATCACGAGGTCAGGAGTTGGAGACCAGTCTGGCCAACATGGTGAAACCCGTCTCTACCAAAAATACAAAAATTAGTTGGGTGCAGTGGTGCACACCTATAATCCTAGCTACCCAGGAGGCTGAGGCAGGAGAATCGCTTGAATCTGGGAGGCAGAGGTTGCACTGAGCTGAGATTGTGCCATTGCACTTCAGCCTGGGTGACAGAGTGAAATTCCATCTCAAAAAGGAAAAAAAAAAAAGCGTGTCTTTACAAAGCAGAAGGTTTGGAGAAATACTAAACCCGTTCAGAGAATAAATGTCAGTTTGTTAAAGTAAATGATACCAATTGTGAACCTATAAAGGAATTCAGTGTAAAACAACACAGACTTGATGTGCATTCAGTACAAGCTGACTGAAAGCTCCTGATGAATATTCAGTGATCAGCGTGCACAAAATATGTTGAAATATTTTTTAAATCATCGGTTAGAATAATCTGAGCCTCTTTCTTATTGTCCCAAGGAAATTTTTAGTCACTTACCCAGAGATGCTTGCAAAGCATTAATATCCTGGAAGATGATCAATAAATGCTGACAGTTGATTGACTGATATCTGAGATATGTCAGGTAAATACCTCAGTCCTGGACAGAGAGCCTCTAAGTCACATCTAACTTTGTGTAAGATGAAGACTGAAGTATGGAAATGTATGCAGTAAAATCACCTCTCGGAACTTGTTTGTAATTCATACAATCTATGTCGATTTTGAAAAATGTATGTAAGGCAGAGAAGGTTGTAGCCAAATTCAATGTATAGTATGTTCAAGTTTCAAATTTTTATGTAATCAAATATGTTAATCTTTTTCTTTCAGATTTCTGGAGTTATGTGTTTTTTAGGAATAACTTACCCATCTTAAAAGTTAAATATTTATTTTATATATTTTCAATCTTTGTGATTTCATAACAAAATATATCTAAAGTCCCATTTTCCTTTAAGTACTGCTGTGGCCGTACTCTGCAGATTTTGACCTGTGATCTTCCCAGTGTCTTTCATTTCAAAATAATCTAATTTTATTTACATTTTAACATAAGAGTTCATGAGAAGAGTGTTTTTTGTGAGTTTTTTTGCTACAGGGTCTCGTTTTGTCACCCAAGTTGGAGTGCAATGGCATGATCATAGCTCACTGTAACCTCAAATTCCTGGGCTCAAAAGATCCTCCCAGCTCAGCCTACTGAATAGCTAGGACTACAGGCATGAGCCACCATGCCTGGCTAATTTTTTTTTTTTTTCCATAGAGACACGGTCTTGCTATGTTGCCCATGCTGGTCTTGAACTCCTGGGCTCAAGCAGTCCCCCTACTTTGGCCTCCCAGAGTGCCCAGATTACAGGTGTGAGCCACTGCACCCAGCTGAGAAGAGTATTTTTAAACTTCCTTTTTCCATCGCATTATGGTCAGAGAATATGACTTGCGTAATTTCTATTTTTTGGATTTTATTAAATGTCCTTTATGGCTTACCCATAAAGGAAAATAAAATAAGATTTCCTGTTTAGTTTCAAAGTTCTAGTTTTTTTTTGTATTTGGCCTCTCCATTTCTGAAGGTTATGTTAAATCCTTCCTATGATTTTGATGTAACTGTTACTTGTTAGCTGGAATATTACTCAAGAAATACTTATTTAAAAAATGACCTATTGCATTTCCTTGACTATTAATTGGTTTTAAACATTCCATGTGGTCATTGGCCATTTCTTCTATTGGGTATTATCTATTTCTATTCTTTGTTTTTCTATAATGTCTCTTTTTCTTACTAGCTTTCTCATAATTTGCGCAGCTTTTGTTTTAGATATTTTAAGCTATATTATTAGGTATTTAAACATTCGTTGCTATTAAATCTTCTTGATGGATTGTACATTTTATTATTGTAAAATCATCTTATTTGATTGTTTAATACTTTGTCCTAAAATTCCTCTTTATATTGCTAACTGTAACAGTCTTTTTGTTAGAATTTGCTGATGTATGTTTTCTACCCCTGCTTTTCCCCATCCTTTATTTGATATTTGTTTTAGATGAATTTCTTGCAAACAGATATTGGCTAGAATTTTTTTGAACCCAAATTAAAACTACATATAGTTTTTGTTATTAAATGGGGACATTCAAACCAGTCACATTTATTGTGAATAACTAATACACTCAGACTTTTTCTGTGCCAGCCAGCTAGTCCTGCAGCAATGAATGCTCTTCACCCTAATCTTTGGCTGACTCTTTGTTATTTGGATTTCAGCTTAAATTTTACCTCTTCAGAGTGATTTTTTTATGACAGCCTAATCTCACATAGTCACCCCATCACTTTCTGTCCCATCACTGTTTTAATTCTCTGCGTAGCATTTGTCGCAATCTTGTTTTTCTGTGAGAGCTCAGACTTTGTTTTGTTCAAAACCGGTGCTTAGTACTTAGAACAGTGCACATAGAAGCACGTAAAAGATGCCCAAAAATACTTGTTAAATGAATATTGAATACATCCTTCTTTCATTTTTTTCACTCTTTAGTATATGTCATTTATTATACGTAGATATAGTGATAGTCATTGTATTTCTTATATTTTCCTTTTCCCGTATGCCTTTAATGCTAGATTCTCTTATGCCTTCCCTTATGCTAGATTGATTATTTTCACTCATCTTCCTCCTTGCCCCCAGAACCACCATATCTAAACCACAGTTTAGATATTTTACTCCCTTCCGCCTCCTTCCCTCTCTCTTTTGTTACTAACTTTGTATTTTAATAGTAGTGTTAATCTGTGTTCTCTGTCAACATACCAAAAACTAAGCCCCTTCCCTTGTTTTACTTTTTAATTCTAGTCCTGTTCCCACTTCCTCCATTCCACTCCTCGTCAAGATGACCATATTGGCAATGCTTTCACTTCCTCACTTCACTCTCCCACTCCCAGCTTCTGGGCTTTGTTGGAAAAGTTTTAGATTCTTTTTAAGCTTTTCTGTATAATACGTATTTTTTTCAAAAGCTTTAACTTATTGTTTACAGTCACATTATCATCAACTATTTAGATTTGGCCACACATTGTATTAGATTCGTTGATCGCATCATCCATCTCAGTCTTAAGGTCTTTGTTTTGATTTCATTTTCTTTTTGGCTGCTGTAATTCCTTGAGGAATTTCCTCAGAAAAAGTACATGGGTAGTGTATTAATTTCCCATTGCTGCTGCTACAAATTACCACAGACTTGAAACAACACGAATTTATTGTCTTATGGTTCTGGTGACCAGAGGTCTAAAATGAGCTTATGGGGCTAAAATCAAGGTGCCAGTAGGGCTGTGTTCTTTCTGGAGGCTTTAGGGAAGAAACTCTTCTTTTGCTTTTCCTAGCTCCTAGAGGCTGTTTACCTTTTTAGGCTCATGCCCCTTCCTGTGTCTTCAAAACCATCAGTGTAATGTCTGTCTGTCTGTCTGTCTCTCTCTCTCTTCTCTGCATTGGGCCCATATGAATAATTCATAATGATCTTTTCTTCTCAAGATCCGTAATCACATCTGCAAAGTCCCTTTTACCATTCAAGGTAACACATTCACAGGTTTTGGTGATTATATTAGCCAGGCGTGGTGGCACGCACCTGTAGTCCCAGCTACTTGGGAGGCTAAAGCAGGAGAATCACTTGAACCCGGGAGGTGGAGGTTGCAGTGAGCCGAGATTGCACCACTGCACTCCAGCCTATGCGACAGAGCAAGACTCCATCTCAAACAAAACAAAACAAAAAAACCGGTTTTCGTAATTAGGAAATGAACATCTTTGGGAGCTATTATTCCGCCTACAACAAGTGGTACAGTTTGAGCATCCCTAATCTGAAAATCTAAAATGCTCCCAAATCTGAAACTTTTTAAGTACCAGCATGATGCCACAATGGAAAATTCCACACCTGACCTTATGTGATGGGTTGCAGTCAAAACGCAGTCAAAATTTTGTTTCATGCACAAAGGTATTAAAAAATATTGTGTAAAATTACCCTTAGGCCATGTATATAAGGTGTATTTGAAACTCAAGGTCTTTATGAAGCATGATGAATTTTGTGTTGAGACTTCGGTCCCATCCCCAAGATGTTTCCTTAAATATATGCAAATATTCTAAAATCCAAAATTTGAAATACTTCTGGTCCCAAGCATTTAGGATGAGGGATCCTTGTATACTATTTGAGCTCTTGTGTGTCTGAAAAGGTCTGGGTTTTGCTCTTCTTTAGCCACCTTTTGGACTTTATACCCACCCCTTTTGGGGAGAAGGTGAGACTCTCCTCATTTTAAGGAAAATTGATGTGTGTTGTAAAAGTAAGGTTGCTTTTGTTTGGAAGTTCAGATTTGTTTAGGGGACTGTTTGTGGGTAGAGTAGCTAAAAAGTAGAACATGCCCATTTTTAAGCCCTTGTCCTCAGCTCCAAACTATCCCTCTATACTCTTCTCTGATGCTGCAATTGGAATCCACAAATTATATTTCTTCTTTCCACCTGGCTCCCTAAGTTCTGCCAATAGACAGACACTGGCAGTCAGAAGGAAGGAGAGGGGACTTGCTCCCTCCTGACTACCTGCAGTTCCTCACTCCCATACCAGCTTCAGTGACCTTTCTACCTTTTTTAGTCAGTTATAGGATTCTATAATTATGAGCATTTTCTTTGCAAAGTCTATAAATATTGTCCCACATCTTCTAGCTTCCAGTGAAGGATATGTAATTACTTTTCCCTCTTTATGGACACTTGGAGTTAAGATATTTCACTAGTATAGGACTTATTTCATTACTCCTCTGTGGCGTTTTGTAAGCCCTCTGAATCTGAAAACTCAAGTCTTTTTGTTTTTTTGACAGAGAAATCTTTTGGAAGATGATTCAGATGAAGAAGAGGACTTTTTTCTGTAAGTCTTTTTTACAGCTTTATTAGGGTGTAATTGACATATAATACATGCATATATCTAAAGTGTACTGTATACATTTTGACAGACATACAGTAGTCTCCCTTATACATGAGAGATGCATTCCAAGATCCCCCAGTGGATATGTGAAAACACAGAGTAGCAAACCATATATATATATGTATGTGTATATATACATACATATATGTTTCATGTGTGTGTGTGTGTATGTATACATACACATACATGTTTTTTTCCTATACATACCTATCATAAAGTTTAATTTATAAATTAGGCACTGTAAGAGACTAACAGCAAAAGCTAATAATAGAACACTTATGACAATATACTATAATAAAACTTTTGTACATGTGGTCTCTGTCTATCTCTCTCTTAAAATGTCATCCTATGCTCACCTTTCTTCTTGTGATGATGTGAGATAATAAAATGCCTACATGATAAGATGAAGTGAGGTGAAGGATATAGACATTATGACATAACATTAGGTACTGTTGACCTCTGATGATACGTCAGAAGAAGAATCATCTATTTAGGTAGTCTTGAATCATGAAGCCAAGAAGATGTTGATAACTAAAGGGATAAGTACCATATACAATGTGGATATGCAGGACAAAGGGGTGATTCACATTTCAGGTGGGACAAAGCAGGGCAACTTGAGGTTTCATCATGCTACTCAGAATGGTGCACAATTTAAAACTTACAAATTGTTTATTTCTGGAATTTTCCATTTAATATTTTCAGACTGCAGTTGACCATGGGTAACTGAAACTGTGGAAAGCAAAACCATGGGTGAGGGAGAGCTTACTGTACTATATACCTGTGACATCATCACCAAAATCAAATAATGAACCATCTGTCGCCCTGCAGATTTCCTCATAACCCTTGGTGATCCATTGCTGTCGCAGTCCCTAGGCAACCAGTGCTCTGCTTTCTGTCACCGTAGTTTGTATTTTCTAAAATTTTTTATAAATGAAATCATGTAGTATGCCCCCTTTTTAAAACCTGGCTTTATTCAGCATGGTTTTTGAGATTCATCCATGTGTTAATAGTTGGGTTTTTAATTTTCTGAGTAGTATTCCATTGTATGATGCTGCAGTTTGTTTATGCAGTCACTTGTGTGTGGATTTTCGGGTTGTTTCTACTTTTTGGCTTTTACATATAAAGCTGTTAACAAACATTTGTGTGCAGGTTTTTGTGTGGATATATGCTATTATTTCTCTTGGAAATAAAAATACCTAGGAGTAGAATGGCTGGTGTAAGTTTACAATTGTTTTCCAAAGTGGTTGTACCATTTTATATTGTCACCAGCATTGTATGAGAATTCCAGTTGCTCCATATCCTCATCAACACTACGTATGGTCAGTCTTCTTCAGTCTTTTTCGTTCTAGCCATTCTAGTGGGTGTGTAGTGGTATCTTGTTGTGGTTTTAATTTGCATTTCCTTAATGACATATGATGTTGAATATGTTAGTGTGCTTATTTTTCACCCTCATACCTTCTTTGGTGAAGTATGTGTTCAAATCTTGCCCATTTTAAACTTTTTCTCATTGAGTTGTGTTTTTTTGCTTTTTATTTTTATTTTATTTATTATTGTTTTTTTGAGGCAAGGTATTACTCTTGCTCAGGTTGGTGAAGTGTCCTGGCGCAGTCTTGGCTCACCGCAGCTTCAAACTCCTGGACTCAAATGATTTTCTCGCCTCAGCCTCCCAAGTAGCTGGGACTATGGGTATGTGCCATCACACCCAACTAATTATTATATTTATTTATATTTTGCAGAGATTAGGTCTCACTTTGTTTCCCAGGCTGGTCTCAAACTCCTGGCCTCAATTGATCCTCCCACCTCAGCCTCCTAAAGTGCTGGGATTACAGGGATGAGCCACTATGCCCGGCCAAGAGTTTTTATACAAGATACAAGTTTTCTGTCAGATATGTGTTCTGTAAATATTTACTACAAATCTATAACTTAACCTTTTCATTTTGTAATAGTAGCTTTTGAAGATTAAAATTTTGATTTTGATGGCATCAGTTTATTGAATTTTTTTCCTATTGTTTTTGCTATTTTTTTCATATACAAGAAATCTTTCCCCAACTCAAAGTCACTAAGATTGTTACCTGTATTTTCTTCTAGGACTTTTATAGTTTCGATTTTTACATTTAGGCCTACAATCCCTTTTAAGTTAATTTTTGTATATATTTGAGGTAAGGATGAAACTGGGAGAATATGGCCATCCAGCTGTTTCATTGTAATTTGATAAAAAGATCATCCTTTCCCCACTGAATTATCTTGGCATCTCATAAAAAATTAGTTGAACTGATCAATCCTTTGTAGTTATGATTAGAAAGAGTTCTCGAACAGGTCTAGGATTACATTTGTCAAGTCAGGAAGGACAACGTTGTGGGAGTTTTCTCTGGGGATTGATGTAGAGGGAAATATGCGTGAGAGGAAACATTTACCTCTTACTTTGTTAAAATATTGTAACTTGGCAGTGGCTCATGCCTGTAATCCCAGCTCTTTGGCAGGCCAAGGCAGGCGGATCACAAGGTCAGGAGTTCAAGACCAGCCTGGCCAACATAGTGAAACCCCATCTCTACTAAAAATACAAAAATTAGCCAGGTATGGTGGCTCGTGCCTATAGTCCCACCTACTTGGGAGACTGAGGCAGGAGAATCGCTTGAACCCAGGAGTTGGAGGTTGCAGTGAGCCGAGATTGCACCACTGCACTCCAGCTTTGGCAACAGAGTGACACTTCAACTCAAAAAAAAAAAAAA